TAAATAATAATGCCAAACATATATAATTACATACAGGTGGATTATCTACAACACTACAATTATTGTAAGTAAATTGTCCTAATGACTTTATTTTGTGTTTGGATGACATCTAGTGGCCTTATGAGATTATCACAATGCTAAATGTAAAATTATCCTGCTCAAGTGGACTTTTTGTATCTTCACGTACTTTCAGGTATAATCAAGGTTCCATGTTGGAATATTGCCATGTTTCTGTGATGGTGAAAAGAAGGATATTAACATAATTATCAGAGTTACAAGGGGTTCCTGGAAAACTGTCACCACATCATTTATAATTACATCTTCTATTTGAATTGCAGAGCTGAAGTGTACGTGCAAGAATGCGCTATTGGTGACGACTTTTACTGGGTTATTCACTGAAGTGAGAATTCAAAGTGATCTTAAATGTGAAATTTACTTTAATTCACTTTGAATTCTCACTTTAGAAAATAACCCTGTTAGTCAAAGTTTAGATGTGAAGGACAAGGAAACACCATCAAGGTATTTGTCTAAATACTAATACAGTTTAAATACTGTTTAAGGTTATTCGCTAAACTTGGTTACAATTGACAAGGAAATGCAAGTTTTTCAAATCATCTACTTCTGGCCTAAGATTTGAAACAGTCTTACCAATTCTCCACAATTTTAGTGACTACATTTACTGACTATAGTTTGTCATCAATTTTTATATTTACATTGCATATAAAACCTTCCAGCTATGTCTATATTTTAAGTGAAGTGCTAGTGTATGCTATTTATATAGTTACATAGGCTGATATGAAACTTGCGCCCATCAAGTCCAGCATTTTTCATATCTGTATTTGCTGTTCATCCAAAAAAAGGCAAAAAAAAACTCTGTTCCAATTTTGCAACAACCTAGGGGGAAAAATCCTTCTTGACCCTAGAATGGCAATCAGATCAAGAGGTTAGGATCAAGAAACTGTTCCTCTCAATATATGTAATCTGCAGAGGTTTCAAATTGACTTGTGGCAAAAAAAAATTCAGCCAGATCGTCAATATCAAAATCCCTTTAACCCCTTAAGGACCAAATTTCTGGAATAAAAGGGAATCATGACATGTCATACATGTCATGTGTCCTTAAGGGGTTAGTCCACATCTGAACAAATCGATTTGTCCAAAAATTACCTGTGGAGTCTTATTCATTAAATAAGACTCCACAGGTAAATTCCATAGAAATCAATTAAATAAGGTGTGGATTATAGCAATTTAATTTATTTTTGCACAAGTCTAGTTTCTGTCATATTAAATATGTGCAGCACGTCCCTAGCCACTGGGACAATGAGCACTGACTGATCCTAATTCACAGGTGTCACTATCCATGGTGCTGAAATACATTTCGGTGTTGTTTGAGCTGTAAATGACTGGAATCCTTACAGGTAGCGGCCCACAGGTAGAGAGCAGCAAAAGTGCTTGCATATGGGCGTTAATGCCGGAAAAGCAACTTTACGGACATAACCACTTATAACCATAAGTAAATTATTTTAGAAATGTCCAGTTGTCATTTCACTTCCACTCGAGAAAATGAGCGTTATGTGCGAGGTTTTTTTAAATGAACAGTTAGTAAACTGGCTTCAAGCTTTGTGTTCGCTGTTTGATAGAAAATTACACACTTAACTGTGAATAAGGATTACTGGGTAGTGTGTTATAATATTCATTGTATCCCATTGTACAGTGCTGCGGAATTTGTTGGCGCTTTATAAATAATAATAATATTCAGACAATACTTGACACATAGTCATCACTGCAGTAAGATATTTCCTATATACATATTTCAGCATAAATAATAAATATAAAATAGAGATATGTTTTAGCAAATATGCTCATATTTTTTTAGTTTTTTTTCTTTTACAAAAACTGCAATCATTATACACTCCCCTATATTTCCAACACAGACAATCTGCAGGCAGATTGACCAATCAGAGACTTCCCACTGTGCTGGAGCTACAAACCCACGTGCAGACAATTCATAGACTGTAACACAGCTCATTGAGCAGTAATAGTATAAGCAAACACACTCCAGTCCAACACGCCTGACACTTCCAATGGCACTGTCGAGCTAACAGTGAAAATACATCAATGCTGATTTCTACTAGTAGATTTCCCCCAGTGAAAACCAGATATGCATTAAATATTGGGGATATATCCAATAAGAGGTTTTTTAAAAGCTGCAAACCATTTGTCTGCAGCCTTTGCAATCTCCCACCTTCTAACCTCACCCAGATTTTCTGTGGCTGTCCGATCACACACACAGCTCTATGAGAAGTCTTTGCAAGGCAGGTGCCCTGGGCAATTGCTGCGTCTTGAGCTTAGCTCCACTGAGCAAACCAAACCAGGAAGTAGCAGGACCTGTTGTCTGATTGACAGCCAAGGGGGTGTAACCAGGTTAATTCATAAAAGTGTCAATTTCTATTGAAATCTGCAAAATATGTTGAATTTGTCAACCATATCACCATTCTATATTACATGTACCCCCAACTGTGTACAATACATATGCACTTTTCTAACATTAACTTGTTTAATAACTTTTTGTAATATTAAGCTTTTGGTAAATACTTGGAATTTATTGGAATTACATGCTGTTAACACATGTGAAGCAGTTAATTGCTTTGTTAAGCTGTGTTAATTTCTCTGCCTTTTTAATCAGTTTTTATTGGTTTTAAAGGGATACAGATCCATAAAATTATGCAAGCTGGGAAAAAAGCAATATAATAAAACGATTATAAGCAAATACATTCTAAATTATATTTATATGTAATCATTGTTAAACTGAAACATAATGCAGAACAAATGAATTAAAATATTCATGACATACTTGAGACTTATTAAACAACAACATATTAATATATTTATACATATATTTGAAATGTATGGAATTGCTTTACAATATAATTAATCACACATGGCTTAGAAAAATAATGTATATACGCAGGTTACACATTAACAGATCAATGGTTTGTTTTAGGATATATTAACTGCTGGGTACAAAGTGATGTGTTTATGTAGATAACGTGGACCACTATAAGTGGAGCTCTGGGACTGGGCTGAATATTTTGAATGATTTAATATTTTTAATATATGCAACAAATATTATATACTGAATGTTCTGTACTTGTTTATTCCCCAAATCATGTTATATTCTAATTAAATTAGTTTTTTATTATTATTATTATTATTATTATAATATTTATAGAGCGCCATAAAATTCCGCAGGGTTTTACAGTGGGTGGACGAAGAAACAGGTAGTTGAAACCAGACAAGTTGGACACACAGGAACAGAGGGGTTGAGGGCCCTGCTCAATGAGCTTACATGCTAGAGGGAGTGGGGTAAAATGACACAAAAAGGTAATGATAGTATTAGATTAATGACAGTTGCAGAAGAGGAAGTTTATCCCCAATACTACTAAGAATTCAAGTATGTTGCATGTTTGATGGAGAAAACATCTACATGTTGAAGTTCAGGTGATGACTGTGATTTGAAGACACTTGTTATGGAAACATTGGATGTTTGATGGGTGTTTGATTTAGAATAATATTGAAATGTTGTGCAAACATGGGGAGCAGTGACTTCCATAGGTATAAACTACATTGTATCTCTAACCTGAATACAGAAACCCTCTCTAATGCAATGTAACAGCCTTATGTATCCAACAAACCAGTTCAAGATCAAGACAAATCTGATTCATCAGAAAAAGCAGCTAGCTGGCAATGATTTAAAGATAAGCTTCATTTAGACTCCATCTCCCTGGAATAAATACTAATTTGCCTAGTGAGCTATACATCAGCCTCATAGGTCAAACATGCCACTGGTTCATAACCCTTTCTGACAGGGGACCAAATTAAACCTATGGCTTTATATTGGCAATCCATTCTTCAGTTTAAATGCAGTGACGCTGGGAATAGGAAATACAGTGACGCTGGGAATAGGAAATACAGTGACGGTGGAGATAGGAAATACAGTGACACTGGGAATAGCAAATACAGTGATGCTGGGAATACAGTGATGCTTAAGAACTGAAGTGGCCCAGAGGCAGGAACACAGACTTAGAACCATAAAGTACCCAGGTTCAAATCCCCTGTAGGGTACTGCTAGGGTGACCTCGTCTCGTCTGGTCCCCATCAGTCACCACAAAACCCATATGTGTGTCTGCCTGCTGTCCTATGGTGCTCCTTCAACACAGGAACGGTAGAGTGAGGGCACTATGTTCATGCTAAAAGTAGTGCCCGATGGAATGACATATTGCAGTACAACAGCCTCCATAATACTTAAAGGTAGGCAGACAATGTAATAGAGCAGCAGGAAATGCTAGCAGAATGCTTGGTTGTATAGGGAGAGGTATTAGCAGTCGAAAGAGGGAAGTGCTCATGCCATTATACAGAACACTGGTGAGACCTCACTTGGAGTATTGTACACAGTACTGGAGACCGTATCTTCAGAAGGATATTGATACCTTAGAGAAGGTTCAGAGAAGGGCTACTAAACTGGTTCATGGATTGCGGGATAAAACTTACCAGGAAAGGTTAAAGGATCTTAACATGTATAGCTTGGAGGAAAGACGAGACAGGGGGGATATGATAGAAACATTTAAATATATAAAGGGAATCAACACAGTAAAGGAGGAGACTATATTTAAAAGAAGAAAAACTACCACAACAAGAGGACATAGTCTTAAATTAGAGGGACAAAGGTTTAAAAATAATATCAGGAAGTATTACTTTACTGAGAGGGTAGTGGATGCATGGAATAGCCTTCCAGCTGAAGTGGTAGAGGTTAACACAGTAAAGGAGTTTAAGCATGCATGGGATAGGCATAAGGCTATCCTATCTATAAGATAAGGCTAGGGACTAATGAAAGTTTTTAGAAAATTGGGCAGACTAGATGGGCCGAATGGTTCTTATCTGCCGTCACATTCTATGTTTCTATGTTTCTAAGTACAGTGACGCTGGAGATAGGAAATACAGTGATGCTGGAGATAGGAAATACAGTGATGCTGGAGATAGGAAATACAGTGATGCAGGGAATAGGAAATGCAGTGACACTGGAGATAGGAAATATATTGACGCTGGGAATAGGAAATAGAGTGACGCTGGGAATAGGAAGTACAGTGACGCTGGGAATAGGAAATAGAGTGATGCTGGGAATAGGAAGTACAGTGACGCTGGGAATAGGAAATAGAGTGACGCTGGGAATAGGAAGTACAGTGACGCTGGGAATAGGAAATACAGTGACGCTGGGGATAGGAAATACAGTGACGCTGGAGATAGGAAATACAGTGACGCTGGGAATAGAAAAATACAGTGATGCTGGAGATAGGAAATACAGTGACGCTGGGAATAGGAAACACAGTGGCGCTGGGAATAGGAAGTACAGTGATGCTGGGAATAGGAAATAGAGTAACTCTGGGAATAGTAAGTACAGTGATGTTGTGGAAGGAAAAACTGGTCATGTTGGGGACAGGGAATGCAGTGATGCTGCATCTAGGAAATGCAGTGATGTCGGAGATAGGAAATGCAGTTATGCTGGGGATGGGCAATGCAGTGATGATGGATATAGGAATTACAGTGACGCTGGAGATAGGAAATGCAGTGATGTCGGAGATAGGAAATACATTAATGCTGGGGATGGACAATGCAGTGATGCTGGATACTGTGTAACTAAGACATGATAAGAAGAACACAGTTAACTCCTACTGTAGAGACCTATGAGGACACAGTTGGCACATCAACACATCTTGTTATTGTTAACATTAATCCAGATAGAACTGGCACAGAGTGCGTCATTGCAAGTGTTCCCAGTAATATGTGCTGATTGCATGTTCAGTTTGATTTGGTTCCAGAAGTATAATCTGTATTCGCAGCCTTCTTTATTCAAGATAGGTTACTTTTACATTCTCACTAGGCCAAACATGTTTACTATATTGTGTTTCTAATACCTGTCTGAGCTCATTGAATCAAGCTGTACCAGAATTCATCATTTGGCTTCGAAAAGAAAAACCTTAATTTCATAAGGGGCACTGCACAGTATTTATAATAATAAAGGACATTTTATGGTATTGATGATGATGAAAGCTACAAGAAGGCTCGTTAGGGCAAGCTACATTGATATTATTAACATCAGATTTAAATGCAAATGAAATCCATGTGCTGTGTCAGGTGTAAAGGAAGCTATTAAATGATAGAAGATGTTTGCTAGGTCACTATATATGTAAATCGGTAAGTGCTTAACACTGCTGTGAACGTGTTTTATCTTTGTTCTCAAGATGAATATTAACCCCTTAAGGACACGTGATGGGAATATTCCGTCATGATTCCCTTTTAAAGCTGAAGTTATATCCTTAAGGGGTTAATTTTTACTATTTCCTGCAGATAAAACATAAAATCAATATATAACTCTAAACAGAGATTCTGAATTATTGACGTTACCAGAATAATGATTGAACATGAAATGATGGTGTTTTATTGAACTGTAAATTCTGGATAAACCTTTTTTTTTTTTTTTTAAAGACAAAAGTAGTAAACTTTTACTGCCACCTGCTGGGTATTTTAGGAACCACACAAATTGAATCTTGATATACCTGTATCTATTTATATGTGGTCACTGGACTTATTTGTTTCAGTGGCAAGAATTTACCAAAATTCTTAATGAATTATATGAATAAATAATTACAATAGTAATTTAAAAAAAAAACTTTTAAAGAAAAAGTTGAAAAACTCCTCCTTTGCTGTGTAAGAGCCAAGAGGGCTGCCGTTTAATCACACTGAGTTTTACAAATTGCTGTTGTTATTGTCTAGGCATAGTTAGCCTTTGAACTGAATTATGAAGCTTAGCATAACTCTGTTGTTTAAATGGAACTTATGTTAACTAACCTCAATTCAAATATATAAGTGACATTTATTTGACTTGCTGACTGTTTATTTTTGTCTTAAAAAAACAAAAAAAACCTGCTTATTTTAAAAGCGGGAAGGCATACGCTTTTGAGTGAGCATCTTTGGTTTCCTTCCACTAAATGCGTCTGTAACTATTTGTTTGTTTTGTTTTTGTTGGGATTTTTTGGTTTTCTCATTGTACAGGATTATGTCACATGCCGACACTCTCTATGGAATAATTATACAATAAACACATTTTATAGCCAGGATTCAGCCAAACAATATTAGCTACCAGGCTGCCAACTAGAGATGTCGCGAACCGTTCGTGAACTTCCCGCGAACGGCTCGCCGCGGTTCGCCACGAACCGTTCGCGGCGAGCTCAGGTCAGCTGACACATCCTGGCCAATCTCCAGCAGACCCTCCCTCCCAGACCCTCCCACCTCCTGGACAGCATCCATGTTGAAGCTGCCTTCAACGTGGATGCTGTCCAGGAGGTGGGAGGGTCTGGGAGGGAGGGTCTGCTGGAGATTGGCCGGGATGTGTCAGCTGACCGGAGCTCGCCGCGAACGGTTCGTGACGAACCGCGGCGAGCCGTTCGCGGGAAGTTCGCGAACGGTTCTCAACATCTCTACTGCCGACGTGGTTTTGCAATCAAAAATGGAAAACAGAGTCGGGGGGTGGGGACAAGGACTAACACAGTGTATCACTGGGCTGTGGGAGGAATACAAAGATTAGGCAGACCAGTTAGACATTCCCTTAACATTCACCTACACCCCTAGACTACTGGTGGCCAGCAGGGTCTTCATTGTAACTTGCACAACCACAAAAACCACAAAAAGCACAGAATAACAGCCATGCAGCCTTTGGCAAGGAGGCATTTAAGTCTAGAAGATTGAACATAGGAGTCAAAAAGGCACTAACGGATTAATGGTCGAACAAGGTCTTCAAACAGAGGATCTAATTTAATTGTGCTATCAAGAAACATACTGAAGGCAGTTTACTCTAGCAGATTATAGATATAGCACAGGGGTAGGCAACCTTCGGCACACCAAATGCTGTAGACTACATCTCCCTTGATGCTTTGCCAGCATTATGGCTGTAAGAGTATTATGAGAGATGTAGTCCACAACATCTGAAGTGCCAAAGGTTACCTACCCCTGGTAGAGCATATAAGGTCATCTAAGCAGGAGATTTAATACAGGTAGAAAAACAGTAACTGGTAACGTGCCTGAATACACACACAGCAAAAACAAAAAACTGCAAGAAATGTGATTAAACAGCGAATGCTCCATGATAAAAGTTTGATAAAGCATGATCGAATCTACCCAGGGTGTAAAACATTGTCTAGATTTATATCCTCTATATTTTTCTAAAGGTCTATTGGGATAACTTGGTTTTCCTTGTGTGTTTTTTTTTCTTGATCATACATCAACAGAATGTTAAACATAGCCATATAAAAGCAAGTCATTTTCTTAAAATATATTTTAAATAGTTTACTCTTTGTTCTTTTTTTATTAGCATTCTCTTCTAATTTTGTTTAAAGATGCACTCAAACTGCAGGGAAGCAAGACATCAGAGGAAAATTCCGTAAATAAGGGACAGGAATGTTCTGTTACAACTGGGACTGTTGGGAGTTATGAGCCAGTTGGTGATTTCTCTCAAAATACGAGCTGGAGTGGCTTAAATGGTCTGCACAGGTCATGGATCTAGATCAGACTCTAACATTTCACATTCACTAATAGCCTATCACATTGGATCTGTTTTTATTGTTTAAAGTCACAAGATAAAACGCAGTTAAACTAATTACAGACAGTCGTTTAAAAAGCAGACCAGAAGGCCCAGTGTCATAATGTTTACATTCAGTGTAATTTATTATTTGATAATATTCACTGACATATTGTTTATTTTTATTTCCTGTTTATTTGCACTTTACTGGGAAGACACTTAGTTGCAATTATGTTCCAGCTGAGTGTGACTTATATAATGATTACAACAGATACTAATTAATCTATAATTTCCTGTCTGCATATAATTTATCATTTACATTTTATATACACTCGATAGATGTTTGGCGTTTTTTAAATTTTTAAATTTTGTTGTTTTATCTTGCGATAGTTAAACACACATCATAACAAGAAAGGTTATTTAAAGTGACCCGTGCACGCAAGGGATATTCTTCCAAAAGAGGCTCCCAGCATTCACTGCTGCCGTCATGTCAAATGTATTTTATTGCTTTCAGTATGAACAGTTTATGTTGGATTTGTTCACCATTTTAACATGGTTCAAACAAACTGTTTTAAAGGAATATGGCTTTGCCTCCCCTGAAAAATCATTAAATCACTATTTAGCAGATACTCCCCCCAATGAAACAGTGTATGCATTTAACAGCTCACTAAAAGTGCAGATTTATTGTCTGCAGCCTTTGCAAGACCTCCGTTCTTTCACCAGCTCAGACTTTCAGTCTTTGCCGGGGAATACTCCAATCAGAGGATTCACAATGAGCTTGCGAAGTAGTGCAGTATTGCAGTATATTTTATTTATTTAATACCATTTTTAATTAACTAACAGAGATCGTAGTGATCTGCTTCTGACTGTAATACAGAGCATTGAGAAGGGGGGAAGGCAGGAACACACTTGTGGAGCTAGTGGAAGCTCTGTGGGGCTAGTGGAAGCAGAAGAACATCTACGTGGCTATCTGAGTAACAGTCAGAGAGGTCTTTCTGCTCCCAATTATAAAAACGCAAGCTTTATGTATGGAGTGTTCCTCTAATGTGTTAGTTAAGCGCATTGTAACTGTTTCTGTACATGTGCAATATAATACTAAAATTCTGGGAATGTTTGTCTGTCACCCAGAAAGGCACAAAGGCATCCTTGCATAAACATAACTGCAGGTTTAGTAAAATGTGATTTTATATATAGACAATATAATGTAATATCCATATATTCCAATCGCGTTCATCTATGGCAGGGGTGTCCAAACCTTTTTCAAAGAGGGCCAGATTTGATGAAGTGAACATGCGTGAGGGCCAACCACTTTGCCTGACATTCTTTGAACCATTAAAATTGAATGCAAATTAAAGGGAAACTCCAGTGCCAGGAAAACCCCTCTCCCTCCCACCCCCCAATGCCCGGTTGCTGAAGGGGTGAAAACCCCTTCGATGACTTACCAGAGGCAGCGACATGTCCCACGTCGCTGCTTCTTCCTCTGCTGCCGCTCCTCCTCTGTATTACGTTGGCTGGTGGGCGAGACTGATCCCGCCCACTGGCCGGGGAGACCTAATGCGCATGCACGGCAAAATCGCGCATGCGCATTAGAGCACCCCATAGGAAAGTATTGAAAATGCTTTTCAATGCTTTCCTAAGGGGAATTGAGCAACGCTGGAGGTCCTCACACAGCGTGAGGATGTCCAGCGACACTCTAGCACAGGTTTTCTGTGCTATGAAGGAGGAAGTGCCCTCTAGTGGCTGTCTAGTAGACAGCCACTAGAGATGGAGTTAACCCTGCAAGGTAATTATTGCAGTTTA